GGGCCAACCTAAGGTTAATTAATATATCGCCAAAGCCGATAGGATCAGAAAGTTGAAAAAAAATTAAACCCATCCCACACCGGAATCAAAATTACGTCTTCAGCGTGCATCACACAGTAGCCTGTCCCCTACACCACAAAATGCAAAAGCAAGTCAAACTACGGAGATAATGATATGAAAAAACAGCGGATTGTGAAAGCCTTGTCAAGGATATATAGCACCAACACGACGTCAGTCGTCTCATGGACAAACATGCAAAATAAACAAACACTTAATCATCATCAACTTCTTTATCAACAATAGCAACAAAAAAGTAAGCAGACAAAAATAAAGTAAAGCAAACACATCTACAGGGGTGTCCACTCAAACTGAAATCTGTGGGACTCCCGGATTCTCTTCAATTTGGCTGAGTTTTAGGTTTAGAAAGATTGCTCAAATAGTGAAGAAAAAAAAACAGAGTTTCTATTTTATTTCTGTTTATAGCTATTTTCGGATGAATCATGTTTGGTTTAACACTAACAGTACCGAAGGCTCATATAGTGAAAAAACCTCAAAAACTGCACCAATTTAGAATGCTGAAGCCGAGGTAGATTTTTTTTTTTAATAAAAAAAAACTTGGCAGGCCAAGAAATATGCTCTAACAATTCATAGAGGTTCATCAACCATTCAGCTATCATATAGAGTGACTTCCTTTGGTATTTACTTCAGCGCAGTGCGTCCATTCGTTGTTTAATTATGTTTAGCGTGCTTGGTAGCGTCAGCAACGGCGACTAAAGTCACCACCGGAAGTGAGAGCATACTACGGCCTGGCGACTCAACGGTACTGTAAGTGTTAAACAGACACCACTGTACATTACTCTGTGCTTAACAAAATAAAATTACTTAACCATATTCCTCCTACAGTATTAACAACAACCAAAACTGTTAACAAAAATGGTAAAGCATTGTACCCATATCTCTTACTTCTTAAAACTAAAAATGACTTTTTCAAATATTGCTGAATCATCTTAGCATTCTTCTTCCAGTTACCAGTTTTTGTTTGTATGATTTGAAGAGAGCCATTGTTTTAAAAATATTCTCAGTTGAATTCTAAACATTTGAAGAATAGATCTAGTACATAAAATTCAAAGAAAAACTACAAGCTGAACTGAATGTATTTCTCTAAAAGAACATTTTAGTTATATTTGAAGTATCATAAAAAAGCAGCAAGTGCTCTGTTATAATATAATCAGTTCTTATATGTAAACAGTAATGCACATTATAAGAAAAACCAGTGCACCCAACAGTAGAACACAAATGCACTAGAGTGTATTGCTTTGCATCACAAGGGAAAATACTGCATGGAGGGGTCAACATGACCTGTAAGACAGACAACACAACAGACAGTGTGACGAACAATGCGAAAAGCAGTGCTGGTCAAGGATTATCAAAGAAATCAACTACAAGAAATCAACAGCAGTGGAGTATACTTAAAACAAAATCTACTGGATTTGTTTCAGCTTGACTGGGCTATCTGTTCAGTGAGGTTCTTAAGAAAGAATACGAGCTTGTTTGATCATTTGTAAGAAATAATGAGGGTCAAATGAAATGAAAAAAGAGAGCGGCAACAAACAGAATAAAATGTCAATGAGACATGAAAAATAGCCATACCTATTCCTTGGCCAAAAAAACACTATCAAAGCGATTTCTTCACAGCAAATAGAATTAAGTTTAGAAGCTTCTATAACAAACAAACACAGTAATACAAACACACACACACACACACATATACACACACACATACACACACACACACACACGCAAACATACTATATTGTAGGCAGTAGCAGGGCCCTTTTTTCTAATCAACATTACGCTACATTAATTAATTCACATTTGGAAGAACTTTGAGTCAGATTACAACTTGAACCAACTTTTCAGTTAAACATTTTTTTGTAACAAACTCGTAAAAACCTAACTAGTTACATACACATTGTATATAGCATTAGCTTTCTCTGGTTTTATCAACTTTATGGTTTCAAACAACTTAAATAACAATAAACACAATGCCACTAAAAGAAACTCTTTATGGCACAATATGATGTAACTATTTTAAGCTGTTTATGGAACAAAATTTAGGCTTTATCTATGACAAGATTGTCAGTTTTTTTCCCCCCTAACAAGATAACAATTCACAAAAATAGACAACAACAAAATACTAGTAATGACTTTCATTTTCTGTAACAATTTCAAAGGACACATTTCCCAACTTTTGCTACAAATGTTAAAATTTCAGTTGTACAATTTCTAAACAAGGTTTATTTTTCTCTTTAAACAATTAAAAATTACTATCTTTAATATAGGGACTTTTTTAAAACTTGATCCAGAAAACGAAGGACTGTGGGATTGAGATCGAAACAGCTTTCTCTCCATCCCTTCTATCGGAGAAAACTCAGAAAGAGTATATTTTAATTTCTTACACATGTGAAATTATAAAAATGTAAATGCATTCTTTATCTTAACATAACGACAACAACAGAAAGATAAGCAATATTTTCTTCTCACTGTTCAAAGCGTGAAATTAGTTTGGGTAAAAAGAAGAACATCAACACAAGAGTGTTCTTTTTGAGCTAGGTCAAAGAAACAACTGAAAGACAGAAACAATAGAGGGAAAACAAGCAGGTCAGAATGAAAGAAAAATTAAAATAACACAAAGCATGGGCCTATCATCAGTTCCACAAAAACTGTCTCCTGATAGAGCCCAGTATAACACATTGTAAAGCTTGGATTGGGTCAGCAAAATTTTTCAACTTAGCACTTTTTTTAACAGCATCTGACTACAACAAACAATCTTAAAACATTTTAAAGGGCACTTAATTCTTTGAATACTTTAAAAGTTTTCAAAACTTTCAAGGTCACCAAAATTGATTTTTAAAAAAAAAAGTCTTTTCAACCCATATTGAAGACAAACACTTATAAGCATCAGACTTTCACTAATGTGACAGAAACAAAATGAACATCTTTCATTTTCAAAAGGACAAAAATTTGGGTGAACACATGTCAAATGTTGTATAACAACCTAATCAAAGAAAACTTTACCTTCAAGGAAATCCTGAAGACAATAAAAAAAACAGCGCCTAGTTCCCAAATTTCCCATCCCAGCACAACATCGACAACTACTGTCATATAAAATTACAGAACATCAAGTAGAAGTTCTATTTTTTAAAATATAAAATCTATTAAGAAAAATCCTTAAATTAAGTTGCAACTTACAACATGACAAAAGATATGTGTACACATTATCTATATTTTCGTATTACTAAAAACACTTTAAACCCTGATCTGGATCCTACTTATAAAATATCGCGTGGACTTTTCCAATTCTCAAGGATAGAGGATATTATATGAAATGTGACTCAACTCATATGACTGAGGGAAAATAAATATTCTCCTCAGGATCTTTATATATATATACATCTCTATAGATACAATGTGCCTTATTAAATCAATATGTCTGAAAGAGTGAGAATACATTTTCTACTTAGGAGCCACATGGGCACAATGTACCTTATACCGGGTGCCCATTGCAAATGGGAATGGGTCGGGTCTGGTTGGGTCCATCACCCAACTCGTCGCCTGAAAACAAACGTGTTTGTTTTAGAGGCGACGAGTTGAGCCATCAATTTGTGCCACGATAGCCGCTTTGTGCCCTCAATCTGGATAGCAAACCGAACCGACCCGGCCCAACCTGATGGGGCCAATGGGCACCCCATATTACCAATCTATATATTTGACGGGGTGCAAATACATAAAAAGGGGCCTATGTATTCTAAGTAGTAGTCTTATGGCAAAAAATGTACCCTTCTAAACCAAATTGTTTGGCTGATTGGAAAATTTTTCCTTCTTAGAAAATAACATTTATACAACAAACTCTACAAAATCTAATATGTCTGACGAGTGAAATCATCAATTCCACGTCGTAGTATCATGGGCACAGTAAATTTAGCTAAAAGTGATTAAAAAATTCAAAGTTTCTATATTTCATCCTATTCAGTTCTTATCATTGCTCCATATTCTCCCATACACTTTTAAAGCTAGCCACCACATTTCAAAAACCAACAACAGTTCTTACAACTATAAGCACCATTTCTTTAACAAGTCGTTATCTATGTGAAAGACTACTCACACATATATTTATATATTTAACTCATGTAGGTGGAAAACACAAACATGCGATCATTTTTTTTTTACACCTCGCTGTTCTCTAGTTATAAATGCAGATAATATTATTATAGCAAGCACCTGAAGCGCATCAGCAGTGAACACACAAGTAGGTATCATACTTCCTCCAACTCTACAGAAAATATTTTGTATTTCATTCTACGCAGCGATCTCATGCAAGCAGAAGACTACTCAATAAGTCTCTAAATATACAAAAAAGGGAGAAAACATTTTCTTCTCAGGTGTAAAAAAAACTAATGGAAATATTTGTAAAAGAATACTTCAAATCAAACAGGAAACACCTATTACTACAAATCTTTACATTCTACAAGAAATATTTTATGTTGTATAACACTACTTTTAAACACTACAGGAAATATTTTGTAGTACAGTACTTTTAAACTCCGCAGGAATCTTTTGTTATATTTGTATAATCCTCTATATCAAAGTCACAGAAGAAGCATACTTTTCTTAATAAGTCTCAAAATGTATGAGAGAGGAAAAACATGCATTCTAACAGGCAAAAAACTAGAGGGACAAGTTGCATTAAAATACATTACAAAAACATTACAAATTTCCGCACGGTCTTCAAATTTTACAGGAAGTATTTCATACAACCACTCTTCAAATTCTAGGGGAAATATTTTGTATTACAGTCTTTCTTTGAGCTTTAATGGATACATTCTGTACTACAGGAATAATATTTCATTATGTCTGTAAATACTGCACCTATTCACCCTACAGTATTGCCACAATCAAAATTCTCAATGCTCCTTTGTTCAAGAGTTTGCAGTTGACACCTTGATATGAAAACCTATTTTTCTCAAAGAAGAAATTTCAACAGAGTTTCCATTCTCTTTATACCAATGACTTTAAGCTAGAGGTTTCATTCCTAAGAAAAAAAGAAAAAGAAGAAACTGGATGGGGGCTGACAACACACAAGAAAACAAACTTTATAACATTTCAGCAAACAAGAGATATCACACACTCAATGTCACCACCCAAATGACATAGCCAATTTTCCCAACTACAAAATGTATATTATACATATATACAATGTCAACGGTTTGTGTGAAAACAAAACATTGTCAAAAAAAAGTGCATAGATATAATCATTCAGATTGAACTTAGCAACATATAGATTCTTGCCAGTGGAGAACTATCAGTGACAGAAAAGGAGGCATCTACAGGGTGATCAAAATAAAAACTGTACACTTTTTTTTCTTCTAAATATCTTGCACAAAATTTGTACTAGAATGTTGTAATTTGGAACAGATATAATTCATTCAAAAGGAATTCGTTTAACACAAAATTCACAAAGAAGAAACCTATTTTCTAAAACGGAAATGGCTTTTATAAAAACCATCTATGAATGCAAAAAAATGCACAATTTAAAAAATCTTGTTAGGAAAGTCATGTAAAGATTGATAATATGCTTTTTCCTTTCCTTTCATTTTTAAAATCTAATCTTTCCATCCCTGTAACCTTAAAACAATAATTTTTTTTCTGCTACAAAGTAAAAAAAAATATTTTTAAAATTCTGGAATTCCGAGAACCAATGGTCTATATGTCCTCCTTTGGACTCGACATATCGTTCGTAATGTTCAGTGGTGGCCAAAGACAAGGATCCACTAAATCATGACTACTCAAAGCCAAACACAATGTGCACCTTACAGTATGGAGCTGTTTCTAGAGACAGAAGGGGGGTGGTGGCCCAAATAGACAGCATTTGTGGAGTTGATATGACCTGAAAGTTGAATATGGGCTTTGCCAAGGAACCAAATGTCATAGAGGAAATGTTCACACTTTTCAAGATGATAGAGGAATCATGAACACATTGCTATCCCCTGATAGCTTCGGGAAAGGGGAAATGGTACAGTAGTAGATGAAGATCTCCCTTGAGAATACGGACCGCTGAGAGTTAGGAAAGTCCTTGCTGCAGACATCGTCTACGGACAGATGTCTCATGGGGCTCATCTACTGAATTCTGCACCCTGGTGACATTTAAAGGGGTGCGAACGGTGTGTGTTTGACCTGAAGTGGTTGTTTTGTCTGGGAATTTTTAGGTCTGATTCTCTACAAGTCCTGAGGGACCATTTCCACCCTTGACATGAAAGAAGGCCTTAAGGACATTTTAACATTATTTCCGTATGTTGTGCTAAACTTACGAAATGAGTTGGTGATGAG